AGTAAATATAGTGTGTATTTTCTCTCTGTGAGACTAAAATGCCTTCTTTTGAACTGGAGATCTCCATCCCAAGGAAGTACCTCATACTTCCTAGGTCTTTAACTTCAAATGCAGTTGCTAAGGTTCCTTTTAAACTTGTTATCTCCTCGGTATCATCCCCTGTTATAACAATATTATCAACACATACAATTAGAGCATATACCTTTCCTCTTGAGTGTTTAACAAACAGTGTGTGGTCAGATTGACACTGTATGTAATTGGATTCCTTCACAACTTGGTGAACCTTCCAAATCAGGCTCTTGGAGATTAATCGAGACCATAGAGGGATTTATACAATTGACATGCCCTTTTTAAGTCTCCATGTTCTATAAGTCCTTCGGGTACTTTCATGTACACTTCTTCTTCAAGGTCTCCACTCAAAAAAGCGTTTTTTACATCTATTGATGGATTGGCCAATCAAGGTTGGTAGCAAAGGACAACAATATCCTTATAGTATTCAATTTTGCCACTAGTGCAAATGGTTCTTGATAGTTAATCCCCTCTGTCTGAGAAAAACCTTTGCCACCAATCTTGTCTTGAATTTGCTTATTGATCCATCGAGATTGTATTTAATTATGAAGACCCACTTACATCCCACAGCTTTCTTCTCAAGGGGGAGGCTCAATACTCTCCATGTTTGATTTTTATCAAGAGCTTTTAGTTCCTCATTGATAGCTGCCTTCCATCTAGGGTCCTTAACCGCTTCATTAAAAGTGGATGGAATTTGTTCTTTGTCAATCCTGGTGACGAAACCTTTCATACATGGAGATAGTCTATTGTAAGAAACAAAATGACTGATAGGATGTAGAGTGCACTGTCTTATCCTTTTTTTTAGAGCAATTGGCCACCCAAGGTCTTCAGGATATGGAGTTTTGAGTTGACTCTTGACATTGCTCAGAACTAGAAGGATCCCCATTGTTTGGTATATGTTGTTCCTCAGGTTGATCAATTTCTGCATTAGATTCTTCTTCAGCCACGGCCTGTATTGCATCATTAGGCACCATACTACGAGTAGGAGCATATGAGTTTGTCTCAGGTTGAGAGGAATCTGTGTCAGTTTTGGTCCTTGAGGTTTCATGTTGACCGGAGGTATGTTCAGAATGTGTTTCGAGGTTAGAGATGGCTGTTGCAGGTTCAGGAATAATTTTATATCAGGTGCTGAAATGTTTGTTTCAGGTGTTGGGGTAATGAAGTGGTTTATGTCAGGTTTATCTAAGTTTAGGAACTCCCATTCATTGAGTTTCTCCCTTGAATGGGAGATCTGGGATGAAAGGCTTGGGTTTCCATAAACATAGTATCCATTGTAACAAAGAATTTTTGCAAGGATGGGGAGTAGCATTTGTAACCCTTTTGAGTAGATGAGAGCCTTAAAAAGATACATTTAAGAGCTCTAGGATCAAGTTTCCCCCATGTCTGTGGTGAATATAAACAATAAAAGGAAGGTCATGAGTTAAGGAATTGGCAGGGTAGGATTTATTGAGGAGGCTTATTGGGTTTGGTAATTAAGGGTCTTAGAAGGAAGTCTGTTTATCAAGTCTATTGCAGTAAGAATTGCTTCCCCCCAATAATGTTTAGGAACATTGTGAGTGAACATGAGTGATTGGGTAACTTTCTAGGATGTGCCTATTTTGGGCTCGGCTGTCCCATTTTGTTGGGGATTATCAACACAACTAGATTGATGGATGATTTCATGTCTCTTAGGTAGTTTTGAGTTGTTGTATAGCTCATGCACTCATGTCCATTGTCACTATGGAGGGTGGAGGGTGAGGATTGGTGTTTGAAATTGTGTTAGGATCATTTTGTGAAACTTGGTGAAAATAGCAGGTAGATCAGATTTTTCTTTCATTAGGAATACCCAGGTTAGGTGTGTGTGGTCATCGATAAAAGTGACAAACCATTTTGCATGGGTGAGTGAGAGTGTTTGAGAAGGTCCCCAAATATCACTATGAATAAGTTGAAAGGGTTTTGAATATTGATGAGAGTGTGGTTTGTAGGTGGCTTTGGTTTGTTTCGAAAATTGACAAACTTCACAGGTAACAGAAAAATCATTCTTATTCAAAAGATGAGGAAACATTTTTGACATATAACGGAAATTAGGATGTTCTAGTCTATAATGCCATAACAATGCATCTTTATTTTCTAGAGTAGCAGAAAAAACTAAAGACAACTTCACATTATTTGAGACAGCATCCTTCTAAACAGTAGAGGTCTTCAAGTATCTTAGCTGTGCCAATCGTCTTCCCTTGCTTCAGATCCTGAAAAACACATTTAGTTGTAGAAAAGTGAACATCACAGTTTTGATTCTGAGTCATAGTTATCATGCATTTTAGTCCAGGAGTATAAAACACATTGTACAGAATTATTTCAGGAGTTATATATGCCGTTCCAAGCCCTTCAACTCTGAAGGCTTTACCATCTGCTACTTTAACAGAGATGTTCATAGGACACGGTCTAATGTGAGTCAAAAGCTGTTGGTTGTCGGTCATATGATCGGTTGCCCCTAAATCCACAATCCATAATCTTGAATGATGTATGTTAGGTTTTAGTGCCATAATAGTAATAACTATATGGGCAATATACCCAGCTGCAAGGGTGGTCTCTCTTGAGTCATGTTTTTCTAGAAACTTCCTGAGTAAGTCTAATTCTTCTCTACTAAATTCTGGTTCATTCTTGCTGTCAACAATTCCAGAATAGCCTCGACCATCTTGTCTTTCCTTTTTCAAGGGCTTGCCATGCAATTTCCAGCATGTCTCCCTCATGTGCTCTTTTTTTCTGCAGTGATCACACCATTTGTTTTGTCTTTGAGTCATCTTGATAGGCTCCTTTTGATGCAAGAGCATTTGGCTGGTTGGATTCTGTTGTTAAGTCAGTGGAAGTGAGCTTCTTTTTGCTTTCTTCATTCCTCACAGTAAAGAATACTTCCCTTAGAGGTGGCAGGGAGTCAAGTCTCATAATTCTTCCCCTTTTTTCTTCTTTTATTTTTGCATATAGGGCAGCATCTCATACATATTAAGTTGTTGCCATTGAACAACCAAGTCAGTGTAGTACTAAGTTACAGAGAGATTACCTTTCTTGAAATCATAGAAAAATCTCTCAATTTCCAAAATGGCAGCTTTGTTTTTAAGTCCAATGAACATGTCTCTTGCTGTGTCCCATACTTCCTTAGCAGTTTAGAAGAATGTAAAGTAAGCACTAATTTCAGTTGTCATAGAATTGATTAGCCAAGCTTGCACCATGGAGTTTTCAGCTTCCCATGCAGCATATTTTTCATTGGTCCTAGTAGGTTTCTGGATTAATCCAATCAGGTAGCCATACTTGCCTTTTTCCCATGATATATAGTCGCACACTAGAGGATCATTGCATGTAGTTTTCACCATTTAACTGGTGGATGGTAATTGATGTGGGGTTGGAGTCAGTTTGGCTCTGGTGACTAGTGGAACTAGACGCCTCTGCTACCAGTACCAATAGGTGCCCTATCGGAACTCTAGGGTTGTTCTGCACCTCATCGTTGAACCCTATGCCAAACCTAATCATCTTTGCTCTAATACCATAAAGAATCTCTTTGATTCTGAATTGTATTATTCGAATGAGCTAACAGGATTAAATAAATACAAATCTCCTCAGCCAGAGAGGTTATTAGGCCACTGATCTAGGGATCTGGCCAAGGTATTAGGGATCCAGAATATAATTCAAAATACAATTAAATTAGAATCATAATCTAGCTCATAAATAGAAATAAGTTTACAGAATAAAATCTGTCATGGGATTAGGGTTTTTTAGGCCCATGGCCCATTAGACTGAGTTGCCAACACATAGGAAATAACTTTATTAGGCTCATGGTAATTTAGGCTCAACACCTCAGGTTACCCACCCCCACCATAAACCTTGCCCATAATTCTTAAGACGCATAACCATTTTCCATAGCTTTTTTATTATTAATATGGATGGCCCGTATATATAATGTGCCAGGATGTTGTATCGCTTATGCTTTTTCCAAAACTACAAATGATAAAATAATAAATTATCATTTTATTATACTTGATTTGTCTTGATAATCCCATGCCTTATTTCAATGTAGTTACAAGATGCTGGATGCTGGACAGATGCTGCAACCTTAGCTTCAAGTCACTTAAATGGATCTGATTATGCAAGGTTCATGCTCTTTCTTGAACTGTAGAAAGGAGATTTTTTTCATCAACATAATTAATTTTTTGTTTCACTGTCAACACTATATTTGTTGCATAACTTCTTATTCTCTTTCTGAATAAAAAATAATTAAATAAATCTCACACCACTTGATATCAAATCAGTGAATCACGCATATAATATAATACACACTGTCTAATTTCTCGAAGAATTTGTGTGCTACACTTTTGTTTCGCACTTTTTGCCTAATAATCATTTTTGTGCCTGACTTGTGAGGTCGGAGATTCTGTGAAATGAGAGATCAAAGGATAACCATTTATGGGAAATGTCATCTTCATATTTTGACCTACACAAACCTATTATTTATTTTTTATTTTTCAGGACAAGACGTGAAACTCTACCCATTAGAGCCCCTAATTTGCAGTTAATCATACAACCTCTATACAGCTAGCAATACATCCATATCGTACATGTAGACTGGTATTCATTCTGTGCATCAATTCTAACTCTCCTGAGGCATGCTGCACCAGGCTTATTACAAAAATAGGCGATCTAAGGAACCTTAATGACATGGTGTGATTATTTGCTTGCTGATCTTTTGTAATTGACAAATCCCTTTTTTTAATGCATTCAAAAATTACCTCTTTATAATGCCAGTCATTTTCAATGTGTTTGGACGTCTCTTAAAAGGTATCAGTTTGAGGCAATATTTGGAGTTGCCTTACTGTCCTCAAATTTGTTCCATCCTGCTTATTTTTGAAAACTCAATTCTCCTAGTAGTTGTCTATTAGCAGAAATACCAACCAACTTATTTTGCATATATAAGGGCAAAATGAGTTTAGTCTCCTAAAGTTTCCATGAATTTTGTTGATACCTGTAGTTTGTTTCTATATGGATTGGTGCAGATGGTTTTATCCTGTTAAAGTGTTCATTCTCTATTTTAAAACCTTTTCTAATATATAAGAAAATTGAATTTTTGGTCCTCAGTTTCCATCAATTTTGTTAGCAGTCCCTATAGTTTGTTTTCTTAGGGATCAATACCTAAAGTTTTATCCTGTTGAAGAGTTCATCCTCATTTTTTAAACATCTGCTCATGTGTCAAATGGCATTGATGTGGCTTCAACAACGTGATCTTTGTTTGATTTGGCTGCACACAGTTCAAATAAGTTAAGTAGGATTTTTTTAAATAAATATTGTGAAGGCAAACAAAGTAAACAGCTTAAAGCTAATGGGATTTCATTTGTTTCAGACCAAATGTAGCTCAAATCTTTGTTTGAGAAGGTGTTGTTTTAGGTGAAAAATGCATTGCTGTTCACATTTACTGCAAAATAAATGCCTAGATGTGGGGTTGTGACAATAGTGTGCTGAATGATCAGCTTCAATCGCTTCATACCAAGTTACTGCAAAACGATGATAATGTGCTAACCAATCTTGAGATGATTGTTTCTACCCATAAATCAGTCTTGGAGGTTGCTCCATTATTATTATTTTTTTTCCTCGTTCTTGTGGAGAAATATGTTGACCAAATTGTGTCATAATTGACTTAGAGCCTTATCTTTAATGTCGGGTTCATGCAGGGTGTTGCAAAGGTGGGCTGGACAAGTTCATCGCAATGAACATAATATATGGAGGTATGATCACTTTTCTGTTCTCTTTTCATCTTCTCCCTCGCTACAATCACTTAGTTCGAGCTTGTGATGGCTCATTGCAGGGCTCTGATTTTGTATGTTGCTGGCGGTGCACTGCAAGAGGCATTGGCAGTACTTCGTGATGCACAACTACCTGACACAGCTGCAATGTTCATTCTCGCTTGCCGTGAAATCCATGCAGAGTTAGTTTCGAAGTTAGGTAATCCTGACGATGAATCAAATTCTTCCATCCATGGTAAGGTACCACACTTGCCAGGGTTAGATCCTCAGAATGACGATGTCATTGCTGTTGGTGAATACTATGGGCAGTATCAACGAAAATTAGTGCACCTATGCATGGATTCGCAGCCATTCTCAGACTAAATACAGAGTTTCATGACATGGGTTCAATTCTTTCAATTTATATATTCTTGATGGCATTATTCAAAACGAGAGCAAAGTTCTAGTTTGACTCTCATGTCAGTCCTGTTCATCCTTTAGGTCAAAGGATCAGAAGCTTTCAGTACATTGTCATTGCTGTAAGTGTATGCTGGAGAAACTTGGAGAGGCAATATATCAGTTTTGATTAAACATTTCTGATTGATTGCTGAGAAAACGTTGTCCTGAAAGTTTTTCCCCCCTCGATGATTCAAGCTCTTGGGTCGATTATACTATTACAGCTGGTGTGTAAATTTGTGTCAACAACAAATTGTTTGTAACCTTGCTGTTTTGATAGGATGAGTTGAAGAGGTTGGATATGCGGCTCGAGAGTAGTGTGCTATTATGATGATTAAATAGGACCTACTTCACTGCTGTTGAAAAAGTGAAGTTTTTTTTTTTTTTAATTCTTCAGTTCTTACCACTGTTTTCCAAGAATCGTTACACTTCTGGGTACTCTTAATGAATCAAATGGTCGAACTTTATCCTGATGATGCTGGTCCAGCAATAGCTTCCCATTTCCACTCGTATTACCATTCTCTGGGTAACCTTAATGAAGCAAATGGTCAAACATTAGATGTGTGGTTATTCAAATATATGGTCACCACAACATTACTCCATGTTCATGAGAGATTGATATTGTTATATTTGTTTGGCATTTCCACAATCATTAGAGTAATTTTATGAAAGCTATAAAAAAATTCTTGGTATTTATTTTCTTAATTTTATGAAACCAAAGTTCTTGCAAATTTCCTTGTGCTTGCTGCTTTTCCCTTTGTCTTGTGGAAATTGAAATTACTGGTAAATGATTTGTGGTGATTGTAATTATGGTGAATTTTGTAGTGACTAATGTAAGTCGGTGAAATTGAGCCGAAGTCCAGGGGGTTTTGTTTCTACTCCTCCTGTAGTCGAATTTTGTGGCTATATTTGATTAGGTTTGAATTAAGCTAGATGAGAATGTGTAGGGTTCAGGTTTATATTCTATGATGCCGATATGCTGTCTAATTTTGTTTAGGCAGAGTAGTAAACATGTAAGAGTAAATATGTCAGGATTTTTAAAGAGGGATATGTTTGAAAATAGGCGATGCGTTTGACTGACTGTTTAGTGCGTTGTTACTTAGTATGAAAATGGGGCAAAAAGGCCTAGAAAACATTTATTTTTTAAGTTGTTGCCATGCTGAATTTAGTTTAAATACTAGTTATTAACAAAGCTTAAAGAGTCAGCTAACAAAAAAAGGGGGGGAAAAAACAGCTTAAAGAGGAATTTATATGTGAAAGCAGGTCGTTGATGACTCATTGACTAAATGGTTAATTATTCCTTAGCTTCCACTAACTAAAATTTTGATGAAATTTAAAAATCAAGGCACAATGCCTCTTGCCTAAAAAAAATAATAATTTTAATTAAATTAAATTAATAAAGAAATTAAAAAAATGTAAACTTAAACCTTAACCCAAAAAAACAAAAACGAGTAACTCGTATTCCCTTAATTTAAATTTTTGATTATGCTTTGGAGTTTTTAATTGAATCCCCTTGGTGATGTGTAACCTTCTTACAACAAATCTTGAAAAGGACATAGTGAAAAATGAGAAAGATGTAAAATAAGAATAAGAAAATGGGGAAAAGTCCAATTTTTCTCGAATGAATTCATCTATCACAAAACCCCTTGCACATTGTTCCATTTCATTTAGATACTTCATTGTCTTATCCATGTTAAACATGATTTGTACCTCCAAAGCAATTGCCCCTTTCTAACATTTGTCATTGCTCATGCTGTAACAACAAAATGGTCTTTCAACAATTAATGAAATCTCTTTATTCTTTTTTATATCAAGAACCATAAAAGCAGTAGGATAAGGAAAACAATTCACTTTCACCACTGGATCCTCAATAATACCATATGGATACGAAAATTTCTATCAACTAATTGAAGTGTAACAATCACAGGAGTGACCTCCCTTGGATGATGGTTTTTAAAAATAGTTAAGGACATACAGTCAAATCACACAATGCACAACCTTCAAATCCTTCACAAATACATAAGGTCAATAGCAAAACTTAAATGACACAATGCACAGCCTTCAAATCTTTCACCAATTAGACATGAAATGGAGAAAGAACCAAGATCTTTACACTTGAAAAGGATATGAGGCTTGATGATACTAGGGGTCGCCTTAGTTAGAGCCATAGTTACAAACTCAGTAAAACACTTCTTACTCAACATATATCTAAGGAACTTGGCATACTTGGCCATTCGCTCCAATACCTTAGAAAATTGATATTGATATAAAAATGCTTTTAGATCTTGAGATAGTTGAGGGAAAGGAAGGGATGGCACCACTTTAGGATTCTTAATTGTATTACCGTTTCCTTTGCTACTTTTACCATCAACCTTACAATTAGCAACTATTAGTTTGACATTACTAGGTTTAAAAGGTGCCTGAATTTTTGTCTAACCAACCTCTTGTTTAGATCGAGACTTTGATGTAGAAGGAGATCTATTTGGCAATCGCATTATACTCCTTAATGTAATCGCCTTGGACTCCTCTTTGCCATCTTTATAAGGCTTAGGCACTATATTACTTGGTAATTATCTTTAGGTGTAGTGCATTCACTGAAGTAGTGAGCTATCTCATTTACACCACCAAATTCTTGAGGGTTGAGTTTACTCTTAGAATAACATTGTGAACTATCTTATTTGCACCTCCAAATTCTTGAGGGTTGAGTTTACTTTTGCAATAACATTGTTAGTGCAAGATGTAAACAATAGGGGGTAAATTGGGTAAATAAAAATTCAATGTAAATAATGAAAGACAATTTCAATAAATAACGAATGGAGTTACATGGATGTCATCGTAGTCAAGTCGAGATAAGGTAAAGATAAAAAAACTATACAACTATACTAAAGCTTATCTTAGTTCAACTTAATCCACTAGCCTACATCCAGATTTACAAATCCATTATATTCCTCAAGTTTGTAATGAGTATTTGAGACCCATTTCAATCCCACTTGTACAAATTGAACACCAACGAAGCCTTAATTAATCAATTACTTGAATGCCTTGACAAATTCTACATGCAAGTCATTAACCTCTTATTGAAAACCATCAAAAGAAGGTTAAGTATACATTACCTCATCTCTGCCTGAGTTGTATTCCTCCTTTTCGACTAGAGAAATATTTGCCATAAGTTCATTCTCACTGTCAGACCTATCTCTCCATATTAATGTCACATATGCCTTATTTCTTGTACATTTCACTTTTTGCTCTCTACTAGACTTCTTTTAGAATTGAGGGAAATAGCCTAACTTCTTGCATTCCTAGCAAGTAACTTATCTTGCTCGTCTCTTCTTTTGTTTGAGTAGTTACCTTTCTAGAATTTTCTTCCATTACTATTATTATTGTATAACTTGTTAAATCTCCTTATTAGAAGACTCCTTTCTTCATCTTTTGCTTCACCAATGTTCTCATCTTTAACTCGGAGAGCTAGTTCTTTCTTTCCTTATATGTTGGCTCTTTTCTAAAATTTTACTAGACTTGCAAAAAGAGTAGCCACTAATCTCATCAGTTCTCTTTTGCTTTCTTCTTTAGCTATGAACTTAATTGGCCACTCATAAGTGAAGACACTTGGATTTTTTTCTCACTTGATCACGTTGATTATCTATTTTCCTACCAAGCGGCTCATGGCATGGGGGGATCTTGTTTCAAAGTCTTTGGTTGTTTTTCCCTTGTTTATTTTGAATAACTCATATTCAATTGTTAGAGTATTAATTCTACTCTATTTAACTCTAATGATCCACTAATGAGTAGTCTCCAATGCTTTTCACATTTCTTTTGCTATAGAAAAATTTATAAGTCCATAATATTCTTTATGGCTTAAAGCACTAGTGAGAACTGACATGGTTTTTTTGTTTAGCTATACTAGTCTTATATCATTATTATCATATTCTGCCTGTAACTTTCATATAATTCTTCCTTCTACTACATTAGTTGGCTTATAATCTTTCACATCTCAAATTTTAGACCTAAAAGCCCATAAAATAGCTTAAAGAAGGTAGTCTACTAAGTCCCTTTGAGCAGAAGTCCCAAAGATGTGAAAGAAAGCCAGAACAAGAATAGGGACTAAACTGCAAAGTGAAAGTTTTCAGGAGCTAAAGTGTAATCAAAATTAGAGGCTCTAGTAAAGTCTCGGAGCCTAGAAAGAGAAAAGATGCTCATTAAAGGTCAAAGGTTAAGTTAGAAGTCTTAAGAGATGGTTTTATGAGGATAAGCCCAAATAGAGACTAAATCATAAATTCAGAAAGTTACGGCTAAGAGGAGTAAAAATGAAAAGTATACAAAAAATTCTAAAAAAAGTCTAAAAAATGGGAAATAATATTCTATAACTCTTTTATGAAAAGAAATAATGAAAACACCCCTGAGGCAACTTAAATGGAATTTATAAAATTATGGACGGTAAAAAGTATACTGTTTGAAATAATTATTTGAGATAGCAAGAGAACCTCAAAAATGCATACAAAAATGAGGTTAAATAATTAAAAATTTGTACTAATTTATAAAATTAGTCCCATATCTAGAAGGCCAGTGTAATAGCTTTAATAAAATATAAAGCCAATTATGCCAATAAGAGGGTATTTTAGGAAATAATTTTTATGCAAGGCTTAAATGAAGTGTTATGTCTTGAGAAAATTTATAAATATTCTCTAGAATTAAAGTAAATTTATAGGACAGACAAAAGAATTTTCTGAGCTCGAAAAGGCCATCAAGAAAGCCAAATAAATGTGAGCCAAGTAAATTGGTAGGAAACTTAGAGATTAAGTTTAATCCAATGACTAAGATTCATTCTCCCTTCCTTCCTATTAGATTTTTGACACCTAGCACTTCTAGAAGGATGATATAAGGGATGATGGAAGATGATGTAATAATTATGCAAAAGTGCACTTGAAGTTTCAAATTTGCACTTACAATTTCTATTAGTTTTCAGGGCCATTTTGGTCTATTCAAGACCAAATTTTTGGTTATAAATAGCCCTCCCTCCCCTCACTTTTTTTGGCTAAGATGAGAACAAGAGGGGAAACTCTTGCCATTTTATCTTTTGAAGCTTAATCAAGAGGAAACCATCTACTTTGATCACATAAGCTTGGATACAATGTTAGTTTTATGTTCTAGCTTATATTTTGTTTTGTATTCTTAGGTTTGGTAGTTGAAAAATATAGATTCTCCTAAGGGGAGGTACTGGCCAAAATCTATAAGAGTTAGGGGAGGATGACTTTGATGTTATAGCTAGTTAAAACACATTGATTTAAGGTTGTTTTGAGTAGTTTTATGTCAATATTTGAAAGATTATATGATATGAATGTTTGAGGATCAGTTTAGCCAAGTCTGAATCTTCCCCTTAGGATGTGTTTTTGATGATTCTAAGGCTTTCAATGGGTTTAAAGTGTAAAACTAAGTGGAAATAAGTTGAGAAAGTGAAGTTGGAAGTGTTAGAATCAAA